GCAATTAGCTGTTGAACACAGGCACTAATTTATTCTGGCCACACATTATGTTGTGTAACTGAAAAGGATCCTTTACTCATAGCATTTCTATTTCCAAACAAACATTCAGCATGATTAAGTATGGACTGAGAAAAATATTTTGCTTGAAGCCTTTTAAAGAGATTTAAAAACTGTCAGGGAGAAGATAAACAGAAATCCAGGGTCTTCATGATATGCCACTATGCACAAAAGGCATGCTTTTCTCCAAAGGAACTTTTGTATGCATTAATTTTTATGTGTAGTTGTCTAGTGTTAGTTTGATTATCATAGAATAGAATCATAGAATCATAGAATCAGAATTGGAGGGGGCTTCTGAAAGGCCATCCAGTCCAACTCCCCTGCAATGAACAGGGACATGCACAGCTACATCAGGTTGCCCAGGGCCATATCCAGCCTCACCTTGAAAGTCTCCAGGAATGGGCATCAACCACAACACTCAGTAATCTGTCCCAGAGCCTCAACACACTCACTGTAAAAGACTTTTTCCTTATACCCAATCTAAATCTACCCTCTTTAATCCCTTTTATTTTCTTATGCTATCTCTACTTGAGCAGAAATGTCAAGCTTATATGTTTAAATCAGGCTTCAAAATCAGCAAAGCAGATGCCTACTTAATTGAAAATTATGCCATAAGTTAATTTTCTAATCAGCAGGGGTATTCTTAACAACGCCAAATCAGTCAAACTGGCAAAGTAAATCACAGACTGTAACAGTTGCTTCTACCTGCTTGTAAGGACAATAGCGTATGCTGTCAAATTTGACTTAATTAAAAAGTCTATGCAATCAGAACCAGCATGACACAAATATTTTTATTCCGGAATATTTCTTTGCTAAGAAATGAGGATTCTGATTGACCAAGTTTACAAACTATTTTAGTGAAGAAAATAAACTTCTCCAGATTTTTCTTTGAAGTATTTTTTTTTAGAAATATTTTAATCAACACATTTTCCAAATGGATCATTTGTTTTTTGTTAACTTGAAACACTTTACATATAAATTTATTTATTAAAACATATTTATCTAGATCAAAACCTTCTTTTCAGTCACAAATATATTTATCCTGCTTTTGTTCTGTGAAAGTTTTAAAAAAGTTTACACTGTTTGATTCGAAGATCCCTCTCTGGCACATCTCTGTAGCTGAAAGCCATTTACAGAATTTTCTGCCAGAATGTGAGACTACCAACCATATTTGCTAAATCAAGTTCTAATCAGCTTTGCTCTTTGCTGAAAAGAGACTCTCCTTCATGTTTGCTGGATAAGAAAATGTAACATAATCAGAGAAGTAAATGGACCACAAATGTACCCAGTTTCCTCTGCTGAAGAGGAGGTGGCAGTAAGCAGGTTACGAGAGGAAATTTTCTAGGACTTTATTCCAGCAAGACCAACCCAGCCTGAAGATAATGGGCACTATACGTTCCTGTTTTTGTTTATGGCAAAATGGTTTCAGGAACTGTGATGTGTCAGAAAGCAGTAAGCTGTCTTAAGAGGTAGAGAGGCATTTCACTGCTGAGCACAAAACAGACTTCCGAACACTTTCAGTGGGCCTCACATTAGCACTCAGCTTAATGCCGCTCAATAATAATGTGAATCACATCAGGCTTCCATAGGCTGCCAAAACGTGATCTGGTATGGTGCATTCACAGTACCTTTCAGTACCTTCCCATACTTAAGGGAGCATATAAACAGGAGGAGGAATGATTGCTTACATGGGTTTATAGTGATAGGACAAGGGAGAATGGTTTTAAACCAACAAAGGAGAGGTTTAGATTAGAAATTAGGGGGAAGTTTTTCACACACAGGGTGGTGACACACTAGACACACTTGCCCAAGGATGTTGGGGATGCCCCATCCCTGGAGGCATTCAAAGCCAGGCTCTGGGTAGCCTGGTTCAGTGGTTGCTGACCCTGTACATAGAAGGGGGGGTTGAAACTAGGTATCTTTGGGGTCCTTTTCAACCCAAGCTTTCCTTCTATGATTCAGGCCTGAGGCTATAGATTCACATCTTTAAATAAAATGGAGGACACCTATTTCTGTCAACAGTAGTATAAAAGTCATTCCATTGATCTTTGTATTTAAAAAGAAAAAGAAAAAAAAAAAAAAAAAAAAAAAAAAAAAAAAAAGGCAAAACAGAAGACCAGATATAAGACAAATGTTTTTATCTTAAATAAGAGTCTCTTATAAGAAATGGAGTTATCTCATTCCTGGAGGCAATGAACCGTGTATCAATTTTGATCATAATTATTCCAAAGAAAGTCTCGCTTGTTGGACAGACTTCAGGAAAGAAAGAATTTAAATAAGTCATATTCCAGTTCATGCTGTCTTAGAATCACAGACTGGTTAAAGTTGGCAGGGACCTCAGAGTCCATCTGTCCAACCCCTGCTCCAAGTAGTGACATGTGGAGCAGGCTGCCCAGGCCTATCTCCAGGAATGCTTGGAGTATCTCCAAGGAGCATACTCCAATCTCTGGGCAGTCTGTGTCAGTGCTCAGTCACCCACACAGTAAAGTGCTTCCTGGTGCTCAGGGGGCCCTTACACTGTACACTACTGCAAAGAGACTGACTCAATCTTCTTTGTATCCCTTCCGCACGTATACTAAGAAGACATCCCCTGAGTCTTCTCTTTAGGCTGAACAGTTTCAGCTCTCTCAGCCTTTCCTCTTAGGAAGGATGCTCCACTCTCTTCATAATCTTTGTGGCCCTTTGCTGAATTACCTCCAGTGTGTCATGTCTCTCCTGTATGGGGCAGCCCAGATCTGGACCTGATACAGGTCACACTTCTGGATTGCCTTGTGATGATGATGTTCCCGTTCATCCTCTGACAATGCTACAGTATATGTCCTTTGGTCTGTGAAAATCATCTATTAAAATTCCATATTGAAGGACATATTTTTTTTACGTATTCTGTTCTCACTTTTTCCTTGAGAAGGGCATTAATTCATTAATTAAAAGCACAAAGATGAAGGAGAATTGGATTCTCCTTCATCCATGGAATGTCTGCATTTAAAATAATCTTTTTATAAAGTGATCGATGCATGGCATGTTCCAACAATGATAATTTTCCTTGTGCTTAATAACATAATCTCTGTGATTATTGGACACAAATGTAAAAAAGTTAAGTTTTTATAAATAAAACAATGATTGAGCCCATTGTGCTTTTTTTTGGGGGGGGGGCCTCCAGAGAACAGCTGTAAAGGAAACAACTATACCACTGGACAATTCTGAGGCAGATATTTTGGGACCTTAGGATGAACTGGGAGTTTTCTTTAAATGGAACCCTGGATAACATGAAACTTACAGGAAAATAAAAACCAAACATAATCTTGAGGAATCAAAAACAGATTTAAACAAACCTTTCCTCTAAGAGTTATGGTAAATTTCTTATTTCTACATTAAAAGTCAGTAAGAAATTGAACATAAAGAAATAGATTTTGCCACCCTAAAACCTTTTCTAACTGTCAAATCATATAATGCAACAATGTAAATTACTGCAGTTCAAAGAATGTTTTGGAAAAGTAATGCTCATTGTATATTATCATGATTACCAATCTATTGAAAAATATATAATGACTAGAAATCTGTTGCAATCAACAATTTTGTTAAAAATCCATGAGAAGAGATCAATAAAATTTCACAAATAAGAGAGACCATCTACCTGAAAATCGAAAATTGACTTAGCATTATCATGGAAAATTTTTCTATGTATTCTATTAGAGAACTCTTGGTGCAAAAAACCCAAGTTCTGGCTGGGATAAAAGCTGTAAGCAAAATTTGGATGTAGATCATGTTAAACTGCATAAAATGGAATTTGAATATTGGTATTTTTATTTTTTTTCAACTCACGAGGATAAGCAGAAAGATATTGTTCATTTAGCTTTAAACTCAGTTTGGTATGTCTTAAATGGATACAAAGCAAACATAAAGCTTCTTCTCAACTAACCACAAAGTGCAGCTTTTCTTTAGGTGTCACTGAAGTATGTGAAACAACTGTTTTAGTGAACAAAAGCTGAAAAATGTTATTGAAAAATAGGCATTTCATCAAAACGTTTCAAATATCAAACATTTGAAAGATGTTGAAAGATTCTGCTATTTGGAGATGAAACTGCTGAGATGTTCAGATTAGATTTCTGTGCTACATTTAGATCCATTTCTAAGATTTCTGAATATCCAAAGAATGCTCTAACATAGAAGTATTGCTATTACAATTTCTTTTTTATTCAAATCAATGAGTAATTATACGAGCATACACTGGCAAAAATGGAACGGAGAACTGGCTTCATCTCCCAAAAAACACAACTTTTTTTCCAACTACATAGCTGGATTTTAATCAGCAGAAAGTCAGTGGGGAACTGGTATGCAAAACAAACAAGAATCCTCTGGCTCCAAGACATATAAGTTTTATTAAATTAGTGCTCCTATAATATCTTAATATCTCTTAATTGATGAGAATTTATTTGGAACACACCTATGAAAAATTTGTACTCTTCTTCTTAGCTGAAAACATTCTGTCTTGTGGCCAAATGAAAGATCAGAGGGCTGTACAAAAAATAAAACTGTGACTACAAATGCTACAGACACTGCGAAATCTCTGATGTATTAAAGAATTCCAAGGACAACAGATGGACATGTTTGGATCTGCTGCGCATTCGTGCTGCTCACTGAACTGTTTATTAACTTCAGGACTACATCAAAAGTCTAACAAAGCAAAGCAAAGAGGAGTTCTTCCTTTCTTTTTAGAGGTTTTGGACTGTTTCAGTTTCATTTCCAGTAGGATTATGGGATGGAATCCATAATGGAGGTGTTACTCAACAGAAACAGTTTAAATAGCTTATTTCTGCTTTTGCCATTAATATGAGCCGAGGGAAACATTTTCAAGCATGAGCTTAATGAACGAGAGAAATGATGGCTGTAACATGTAATGCTGTGTGACAATTAAAATAGCTTAAAAATGTTAAGGAACTCACAGACTCTTTTCTGCTCATAGTCTTGCTTTGGGAACGAGAACGGGAGATGGTGCTAAAAAATGAATCCTTTTTTGATGCAGACAAAGGTGGAGATCCTGTAAATTCACGTCCCCCAGGCAAGCTCTCTATGCTTGGAGATGAGCTGATTTTTGAACTTTGACCTATAAAAGAAGCATAAAGTAAGATGAGAATTAATCAGTGGGCTGTTTCTTTTCCCTGTAAATACACATCAATGAAATGTTGAAGTGTGTCAGCATGCATTGAAATTGAAGAACTATTCTGACATACACAGGACTTGATTTTTGTATGAGAGAAAAAACACAAATCTTAATGTATATATAGTTATATATACATACACAAACTACATAGTACATACACAGGTTGCTCTGAAAGTAATGCCTCCTATTTATATCCATGGAAACGACAACACATACAAAGAGCACATTAATGCCATTCGATAGAGCAAATTTTCAGTTACAACGCACTATTTTTCAACATATTCTCCACCATTATCACTGCATTTTTGCCAGAGATGAACAAAAGCTTGTGTGCTGTACTTGTAAAACTATGCACCAGTGTAAGAGACCCACTGTTGCTGTCGCCACTGCTGAAATGCACCACCACCTCACTGTGCTCATGTCCTCTGTTTGGTGTCCAGAAATGTTCAGCAAGCATCAATGAATGTCAATGGGTACAAATTTTTCCGCTTGGAGGAATTTAGTATCACACTTTTGTTCCTTGCGCATTTCCATGTCAGATGCCACTCGGTCAGACTGTCCCTCTAATGCCATCTGTTGCATGGCAACATGTATTACATTGGTGGGAAGGTTCATTCTTTGCTGCCATACCACCACGATTTGCCTCTGACGTTGTGGGCCATCATAATAAAATAGAAGGTATTATTTTTCAGCATCCCTTGTATATATGCTTTACATTTATCTATCTATATCTAAATAAATGTATCTCTATAAATAAATAAATATATATGTATATAAATACTCTCCCAATACATATTTGATATATATACAGACTGAGGAAATTCCGTATGATGCATAACGACTAAAAGTATGCATCATAATAAAAAAAATCTCACCTCATCAAAACTGCAAAGGAAAACGTTTTTGTTTTAACAAACACATTATAAAACTTGACAAAGAAAACTGAGAACAAGAACACTGGATTACAAGAATGGGTTTAACATTTAGTAACTAGATGACAATTTCTAGGCTTGCAACAGAAAATTGTAAGTTGTGTTTGAGAAAGAATATAAATTCTTCTGCCTCAAATTTTAAGGTCATTTTCATGTGATAGATTTTGATGAAGCTTGCTTTCTAAAGAATCTAGTGTTATCCACTGTCATAGTGAGGACACTTGGGTACACGGCTGTGCTATTTCACCACGATGCTGTATTGCTGTATGTAAACAAGCAGTTTATGACAAAAGACCATTCCTTCCAGTTGAAGCCCGCAAAGAGTTTTCAAATTTGTGTGTTTTTCATGCTTCCTTTTATAGCCTCAAAAACAATCCTCCAAGAAATCATTCAGATGTTAGAGGTGCAAACTGATCTCCTCTGCCAGACCACAATCAAATTCTGAAGAGTTCCATCCTTCCTTACTGATTTGCTTCCACTCAAACCAGTTTTACTCTCACATACGCCAAGTATTAATGCAGAGACCTCCCAATATATTCGGTGTATATTTTAGTACACTTTTTGTCGTGGTAGGTACATGATTCATTCTGAAAATGCAACGCTAATTCCCTTTATGGAATGTGTGAAAAGTCTCCCCCTCAGTATGCACTATGCTCTTCTCCCATGATACAGGTTTCTGAAGAAATAAAAGAACTCTAAAGACAAAGAAATGAAAAAAAAAGGCTGTAGAAAACACACAAATTCAGTTTTACAAACAAAAGGAAACCAGGTATGTTGAGTTCAGGCCTTTTAAATTAAGGGTAACAACTAGGAGGAACTACTCATACATATTAACATTATTCAGTTATTTAAGCTTTAGAACAGTGGCTGCCCTCAAAGTGGTGTGCATGCCAGCAGTGCCAGAGCCACCTGCAGGGTGGAGTCTGAGCCAAGCTATCTGCAGCATTTGCCCTGTATGACACATATTGCACAGCCACAGCCACATGAAACCAGCAATTCACATTTTCTAAAGGGAATAAATACAGATCTATTTAAAATGTCATCCTAGCAAGGAGACTAACAGATTGAACTTGCAAAGAAGAAAAAATCCTACATGACAAAACAGACCAGAAAGGACAAAAAAAGAAGAAGGGACCTGAATTCAATATTCTTCAAGCTTTCTCAAAGAAAACTGACATATAAACTGTTTCTTATTTTTTCCCTCATTCTTGATTGCCTTATTTTGCTCTTCTCTCCCGTGACTCTCCACATTTTATATTCTGCTTCTCCTGAAGACACTTGCTCTGATTGCCCCTTCCTCCTCTTCAGACCCTTTTACTTTGTCTTTTCTACTTCTGTGACTTCATAGAATCAAAGAATCATTTGAGTTGGAAGGGATCTTTAAAGGCCATCTAGTCCAATTCCCCTGCACTGAACAGGGACATCTACAGCTTGATCAGGTTGATCAGAGCCCCATCCAGCCTGACCTCGAATTCCCCCATGGACGGGACTTCCGCCACCTCTCTGGGCAACCTGTTCTAGTGCCTTACCACCCTCATTGCTAAAAACTTCTTCCTCATATCCAATCTAAATCTTCCCTCTTTTTGTTTGAAACCATATTCCTTGCCCTATCACAACAGACTCTGCTAAAGAGTCTATCACCCTCTTTCTTATAGCCTCCCTTTAGGTAGTGTAGGACTTCCTTTTTCCAACTTTTTCCATTCTTTATTCTTCTTTCAATTGCATTTTCCTGCTGCTTCTCAGACCTCTTCTAGTCATGTATCATGTACCAGAAACCCCAGAAAATCTATAAAGAACAATGAAAAAATATTACGTATAAAATGGGCTCTTTTTCCTATCCTGTTAATAAGAAGATAGCTTTCACATAAAATGAAGATTAAAAATGAAAAAAAGAAAAAGAAAAAGAGCAATATAAGTATTTAATATACATCTCCATTTCTTGGCCTGTGCTTAACCCACTTCATCTGCAATAAGCAGATGATACAGTAAAATTTCACAGATATCATCAAGAGACGGGTGCTTTAAATACATTTGAGGAACTCACAAGATACAATGCAACTTGGTAAAATGATGGAAAAAATGGTTTGTAAGAATTTTTTTTATATTCAGTCTTCGAGTTCTAAGTGAAAAAGGTCCACATTTTAAAGACAGAGAACTATTCTTGCGGTAAATACTGTTTATTAAAAAGCTTCATTTCAAGAATGGATCACAGTTTAGAGAAATGGAGTATGCACCTATTTGCATAACCAAATAGGAGAAAAAATATATATGGTTGAGATTTTGTGGAGGAAAAAACTGTTGTAGGAGGGAATTTGTTTATATAATACCAAGAGTTTTTATAGATTATAAAATATAAAAAATATAAAAATAAATGTAACACTAGATGAAATGAAGCAGATAATCAGGAAATGTAATTTTTATGCTGACTCCAACCATGTGAACTACACTGTGTCATGGATCATTCAGGGGATGCAATTAGTAATTTCACAAGAGAAAGAACAGCATGTATGAAGAATTAGTGTGTGTCGCCAGTCATAAAGCAGAGTTCTTGCATTGTAATAGGCTTTTCTAAAATTCAGAGGAGTAATCAAGATTAAGAAATAAGAAGATGGCTGAAAGACAATTCATACCAATTGCAACTACTTTCCTTAGTGCAAAAAGAAAACTGCCTATGATTCTCCCAACACTGAATCTTAGTGGAGCTACAGCAAGGACAGCTGGCTGAAGTCACCACAACCCTTCTGAAGATGTATTATGCATTCACCAATTCTTAAAGTACTAGCAGCCTTTGTGTAAGTTTGAAAGTACAATATAACGTCAACCTGTGCCACCACCTCACCATTATCTGAGAGAGTTTTGGAGTACTCTTCAGTAAAAAAAAGCTAAACCAGAACAGAACACTTACCCTCAGTATACAACCAAATATATAATGTGATACAAGAAACTTCATTTAGTAACCAGCTAAACACATCTCATTCTTCTTCAGCAGCTCAGTCAGCAAACTGAGATCATCACTTCATCATACCTCTCATTTTCTTATGCTTATTCTAATGATCACAGATAAATGCATTATGCCTCCTTAAAAGATTAGAAGAGTTCTTAAACTAATTTCTGACTACATAAACTTATACCAGAAGATCATAAAGCCAAAATGAATCAGGTTGAAGAAACCACAAGATTGAAAATCAAAGAAATGCTTATGAGGTATACAGAATCAAAAGCTAAGGACCCTTGATAGCAGTGGTCAGAACACATTATTGCATAAGACGTCTTAAAATATGTATATGTCTGCAAAAGTCCATAAATACTTCACTGTAATGATGCACAGGGCCTCTTGCACTAAAAATTCACACCCTTCTAGGGGCAAAAAGGAGCACTGCAACCTCCATGTGCTGTCTTCAAACCAGCTCTCTACTTGTCTGTTGCTGAAGATTACTGTGGCTGACACTAGGGTCACAAACACACTGATTCACAACCATTTCTAAAATACACAGTTGTAGTGGTGTTGTATTGTCAGCAAGGCAGAGGGTGTGGAGAAGTGCAGTATATTGAAAAGGAGAGAGAAAGTTTAAATATAATGAGATCTATTATAAGTATCTGTAATAAAGTGAAAACAAGATGACAAAAGGAGTGGGGAAGACTTGCAATGAAAGAAAAGTAAGCTTGCTAAGTTTTAGTTTAGTTAGAAGGGAGATAACCATGAACTTTGCAGGCCTCTGCCTCCATAGGTATAGGAAAATATAAGAAGAATCAAAGAAGACATGCAAGAATGACATATAAAACCAATGGCTCGCTATTTGGAAAGAGGAAAAGAATCACTTTCATAGTTATAAGGAGAATGAAGGACAAAGTTACCAAGAAGAACAGAATAAGGCAAAATCCATAATTCAAAACTATTCAGAACTGCTCATCTATTACTCTGCATTTGCCACAGTCAGGATGTAAAATATGAAAATTTGCAAAAATAATGAGTTCTATAAAACTTCTAGCTTCAGATAAATTAGTTTTCTTTTTTTTTTTTAGTTTTCTTTCTCTCCCTCTGTCTCTTTTTTTTTTTTTTTTTTTTTTTTAAACAGTAAAATGGGAACAAAGGCTTCCAGCATTTTTAACATTCACTCAAACCACCTCATCACACACATGTGTGGGGCTATTATTTCTCAGCAAGCCCATCCTCTTTGGTTAATGGCATTAATATCAGTGTTTGGCTCAAATTACCGCCTCAAACACAACAACAGGAAAGTGACACAGCTAAAAGAAAAAACTGATAGCCACATTGCCCCCCATGACCAAGTGCGGGATGGACAACAAAATACAAAGCAAGTGCAGATTTGTATGGGGAATGTGAGCCACACACAGAGACGGATGAAGCAGAGCTGCTGTTTTAATTTCTACACAACAGTGCCGCTCGGTGGATGGACAATGGCAGTGAAGGCGGATGGAGACGCCACGGATGGAACATCCCAGGGATCCTACAGGATTCAGCCTGGGATGCTGCTGCAGGTCCGTACCTGGGAGCGCAGAGGGGTTCTGCGCAGGGCCGGGAAGTGCAGCATCGCCACCGGGGGCATCGCCTGCCAAGCAAAGAGACACGTTAGTGTGAGACTCCGGTCTGAGTCGTGGCTTGGCAGCGTCTGATGGGACATTATGGCAAAATCCCACGGGGACATTTGAACAATTGCTGCATTATACACTGCCTGTGCAAAAGCTGATTGGGGAGTATCATATTCATGCTGTCAGAAAAATGTTATCATTACCTAAGGATATGCAATTGTTTTTGTTTTTTTTTCCAAGCGTTTTTTAATGCAGCATCTCATTTCATTTTTATTTATTTATTTACTTAGAATTCTGCTATCAGTACAGACAACTTCTCTTTTTTTTTCCTTCAGAAAAAACAATCATTTTCTAGTTTGTTTGTAATTCTAAAGATGGAGATCATTTCTTTAGGGCAAATCAGGTGACTGTGGAAATTCTACTCATGCTACAACAGAAGTACCAACTCTTAAAAACAAACAGAAAGAGTCTGGAAATCCTTTAAATAGCCAATCACAGTTTTGGCAGAACATCTTCAGATTAGTCCTCTAATGTGTCCTTGTGATAAAGTGACACTCAAATGAAAAGCCTTTTTGGTTTCACAGAGAAAGGACCTGGAAGTAAAACTGTATCATGGTGAGGGAAGAAGTGAAAGACTCTTTTTCTTTCTTTCTTTCTTTCTTTCTTTCTTTTTTTTTTTTTTTTTTTTTTCTGGCAGCACATCACCGTTTGGTAGGCAAAGACTGCACAGTTTCTGAATGCTCAAGAATCTGGTGAAACACTAAAGGCAACAATTCTGCTTTTTTTTCTTCCCAGCTTTTTTCATTATCATTGGTTTTGTCTCTTATGACCACAAACTCAGCTGACAATCCGATGGACTCTAGATTTCAATTTAACCTTTGTGCCTATGAATTCTTTCACTGTGTAGGATCAAAGGAATATTTTAATCCCTTTTGTACTAGCAGGCTGCCTCACAGAAGTAATCAGCAATGACACTCGGCCTTCTGTGCTGAGGACAGACTGAATGGGATTAATATATTATTAGAAGGAACTGATTTTCCAATTAGGTGTCTGGATATTTCATTTAACTGTGATTTGTAATGTTGAAGACTCATCTGGAATTAACAGGCTTGCAATTAGGATACTTTTTGTCTGTCTTGTTTTTTTCCATGTACATTCTCTAAATCATATGCATGTTTTTCTTAAAGAAACTCAACAAGTGCAAAAACTTTGAAATGAGAAACAATTCTTATTGATATAAAACACCCATCCCTTATACTGAGCACAGCACTTATGAATGCATGAGCGACATCCCTCACTGCTGCAGCTTTGTGACAGAAGTGAGTGTTATCAGTGCCAAAGCACAGCTGTAAAAGCTGGGATAGGATTATTTTGCCACCCTTCAAGACATTTTGCCACCGATGACTTCTTCACAATTCAAAGTAGATTAGTCACTGAACTTAATCTCTTCAGATTTCACAGTACTTTATGTATTAATTGAAATTATCAACACTACTTGAACATTTAAAACCTGAAAGGACTAATATAATGAGAAAAAACTGATAATTTCCTCTACTGACTCGATCCCTGTCAGACTACTTTGGTCTTTAGGTTACATTGTCCAACTAAGCATCTATAAGTAGCACATTGACTGGAAGTGCAAATGACTATCAATTTAAATGCAAAATGCTTGCATTTGCCTACCTCAGCTAAATGACTAAGCTCCTGAAGGCTAAGATGAGCTGAAAACATGATGAATGGGAACATGTGAAAGTTAGATACAGTTTGTCTGTAACTTAGGAGCCTCATAGTTACAAACCACATCAACCAGCTTTGAGAAATCCAAAAGCTACAGCACAATTCAGTTTGATAGAAGCCAATGCACAAAGTCAGAAGGTACTTCAGCACAAACAGAAGGAGCAGAATAAGGACTTTTCTGTCCTAATTCCTGTCCCCTGAAGCACTTTGCTTAGAGTCGCTGAGAAGTGCTCTCACCCACTGTGGACCCACTGCCCACAGCACTTTCTTGGGTGCACAGATACCATCATCTTACTTTAAAACTGACTTTTAAGACATGATACAGAAGACACTATGTGCTGTGTGTCGGCACTTGTAGTTGGCTGCCACCATTCCAAATTTCTGTCCAGCTACAGGCAATATACTTGTTGCCTTTAAATTACATATGACATGTTGCAGCAAATATGGATATTCTGTCTATGCAGAAATAAGTGCGCAGTCTGTGCATGACGATCACCAAAGTCTAACTACAATTTTATTCTGATTGTTATATGTAAACTGGCAAGTCAGTTTCTTGACTACTTAGCAAAGTAGCTACTGTATACAAGCATAAACAAGGCCACCCATTATCAACTAGCTCAGTATTAAGATGCAAATGATTCTACTACTATAAGCTGCTTCAAATTTTACTGTTTTTTCATATTAAGCAAGCAAAAGCAAATCACCACCTGATCAATTTTCAACTTAAGTGGTATAAAGTCGGGCACCTGACAACTTTACTGTGGCCTTTTTTTTAAAAAAGCAAACCAAAGAGCCCATCCAGAACTATGGAAACAATTTCTTTCTAGACCTAACTTTCCTTCTTTGATACAAGCAGGGTTTGCATCAAGGATTCAAACAGGAGCATACACAACATTTGTAAATACAAATCAAATGAGGTCACTGCACAGCAGAGAAATTACCACACTTTGGTTTCATATTTGCACAGTGATGGGGACTTTCAAAACCTGTGCTGGAGCAATTTTTAAAATGTTTCTATGATTCTAAGAAAAGCTACAAATCTGCATTTTGCCAAGCTGCTGTAGTAGCCTTTACAAAACTGCTTGCACCTCTCTGCTTTGTGAGGAAAGTTGTACCTCCAAATGCTGTTCTTGCAGTACCTCCTGGGAATGTGATGCATCATGGAAGGACTGACTTTGGATAAAAAGGGTGACATGGGATAGAGAAAGAACATCAGCCTGAGCCATGGAAATGTTATTTTCTTCCTTGTACACTTCCATATCTGGTGAAAAATATGGCGCAATGGTTCAGGGCAATCAGCAACTCAGGCAGCCCTCAAACTTTTAACCATTACTTATTATGATGTACAACTAGAAACAATACACACATAAGTAGAGTGCTACACATTCGTTTCAAAGACCATGCTGTCATAGGCTGTCACAGGCATTTGAAGATGAAAAGCAGAAATATGCCTTGAGCCTAGCAGACTGTAGGAAATATATACCAAAGCTGAGCTCGCTGACTTTGCTGTTCAAATAAAATGTCCTTGAGAAATATAAAAAAAGGCTCCAAAAAGTAGTATTTACCAAACTGAGAACGTGCATGGGGGCATCACAAATTATTAAAAGGCAAATAGATGCTATTGGTCAAGTAGCTTCGGAAATAAGCTCTCCAACTCCTAAAGGGAATAAGATTTTGTTTGTTAAGAATTACTCTGTAATTGATCTAACTTCCTGCACTCATAGTCAGCTAATACTGTTATGCATGGGATTTTTGCCAATAACCTGAAAAAAAATGATATGAAATTAGTCTTGCAGTTAAATTATAGTGCATTTAAAAGACTGGAAAATTAACGTATAAGAAGATGTTTACAATAATACTAGAGTTTGCTGGTATGTCTTAAGTCATTTGTTAATATTTTTAAAGGTTCAAAACTTCCTAGTATTTTCACCTTCTTGTCATTTTATTTAATTCTATGCTACATTGCAAACATCCTGTTTAACAAAATTCTGTCTCTTCTAATCCCTCCAGATACAAACTTATTGCATCAATAAAAGGACTTCTCCTGCTGTAGCACTGCCGCATTTTTTGCTGTTACCTTTGCCCAGCTGGACTGGCATGCTTTCCGACTTCATCATTCTTTGCTGCTGTGCCTGGTGCTGGTGGTACTGGGGGCCATCCGCTGTCCCACGGGTAGGCACTGTTGTTGGAGGGAAGCTACCTGCCCCAGCAGTGGGGCCTGCAGTGCTACCTGAAGCCATGGCCGGAGCTATCAGCTTTCGGCCAAAGTTCAGTAAGCTGTTGGAGACTTTGTTGATGTTCAGTGGGGCAGCCTTAGCACTGGCACTGAAAGGAGAACAAGACAAATGGTTAGATTGCGGTTGGACTTGATGATCTTTAAGGTCTTTTCCAACCAAGCAATTTTCTGATTCTATGATTCTGTGTAGGAATGCACACACAGTTTTCCAAAATGGAGCTAAGGTAATCCAAGTGTTGAGCATCACAAACAGTGTGTTTTACCATGAAACATACACAGGAGTCACAGGGAATACACAGTGAGGGTTTTTTCCAACCAACGGCAGACAAATTCTTTTGGTCATTTCTTCCTGAAAAACACAGGGAAGTTATTCCACTTTCCTTAATTTGGCTTCTTAAATGAAAAAGGATATGAAAAAGTGTCAACAAGCGATCCATGCTCTGAAGTATCAGAAACATTATAAAATTTATTATTAAGACTTTTTCACTTGTTATTCCAAGACTACTATAATATTTATTTCTGTTGGATTAAAATTTCTTAAACGTTTAAAATAACTAAAACTTAATCAATTCTTCAAACAAACAAAACCACCAGACTGCATTTTAGGTTGGCAAAGCTAGCTGAATTTTGCTCCAATGTCACCCTCTGTCCATGCCAGCCATTTCTAGACAAGTGCTTTGTAAAGGGAATCCTGATTGCAAAAGTGGTTTTGGCTGAAGAATGGCTTCAGAATATAACACGTACTGGGTCACGATCCTTATCACTGTTACCTTTTATTTGAAACTACAGTGGATACTTAATTCACTTCAGTTATATGCAACATTAAGAATGAGGAAATTACTAAACCATTTAATCTATCTAAAATAAAGAGGCAAAGCAGCTTCTAATTCCCAGTAGAGGTGTTCACATAACCCAGAGATCAGTAATGCCACCGCTATTCATTCATGCAGTATTTTTCTGTTTTATATTATTAATGCTTGAAATACCCTGTACAGAAATATATCAGTCACAGAGACCTTTCCACTCCTGAAGTTTTATTTTACTAAGCTACACACCGGTGATATAAATAGCTGTTTTTAAAATAGTTGAAGAAATACATTCAATTAAGGACTCTGCAATCATTGTTCTGGGAAAAAAAAGCAGCTCAGAATGTTTTGGGGAAGTTTAATTAAAAACAAATTATAGATAAATTAATATAGGTGATTTGTAACTTGTTCACACACCTGAAAAAGTAATTTTGCTTTTTCTTATCATATCATTTCCCTGTTTGTCTTCATATATATGTATTTTTCAGATACACAATATGATCACACACACACATACTGAACATAACTAGAAAATAGGAACAGCTGCATTCTTTAGACTAAGAATAGATAAAAATTAAAATGAGAGAAAAGAGGAGAAAGTATGCGAGTTCGCAGAATCACGAGATGGGGGCATCCTCTTGTAGACTAGTGATGAAGAAAAAATGTGTTACAGTTTTCAGGAGTGGCAGTGAAACAAAAAGGGGATCAAAGTTTGTCTCCTGTAACTCTTCAACCCTTCCTGGTGCTGCTTCCCAATTTATGGAAGCTGGAACGATTTCTGGCTACTGATTGCAGATGTTTGTGTATGTCCCCGTTTTACTGTTGCTAATATTACAAAAAGACTTACTGTAGTCATCTCAGAGTGACTGATAAATTAAATTAAAAAAGAGTATTTGCAGTTATAAAATGGCCCTGCAGGAATCCCAAATGGTTTCAAAAGCAAACTGAATATTTTTAATGATTTTTAAAAAATGCTATTCTGTTTATTACTACCACTTTTTTTCTCTGATACTACCTAGCAGAATTGGTTATTAATCAGAATATGTAAGATTCAGGTTGAAAAAGACCTCTAAGATCAAGTACAACCATCAACCCCATAACAGCATGCCCACCAAACCATGCCCCTCAGTGTCACATCTGTGTGTTTCCTGAACACCTGCAGGGACGTTCCACCACTTGCATGTAACTAGGCAGGAACGCTTAAAGAAGTGACAATGGATTTTCTAATTCCTTGACATACACGTGGCATCAGAATTGTCAGCACAGGGATTTTTGTTTAATGATTTCTTCATTCCAGAAAGAAAACAGGCTGTAGCTGAGAAGGTGGAAGAAGAAAGATCAAATGTTGCTTTAGCAGATACCCAGCAAATATGAATAGTCTGCAATTAATTGAATTACATCACTGATTTTAGAGGCCATACCAGTAATAACTTTGTTGAGATCTGAACCCTAGCATCAGTATATCTAGCAGTTTTCCCCTTTGGTCTGTTCAAACTGTCTGCCAAATTAAGGAGCTATATATCACTAATTCACCTGAACTATCACCTTAGAAAGAAAATAATGACTTGTACAGTGAGTCCTAGGTTTCTTTTGCCTGCAAGTCTGGAGCATAGACAATCAGTAAAAAGAGAAAAAATGCTGACAGCAAAAAACCTGGTATTTAATAGAAGAAAATCTTTTTCTCTGAGAAGCTACAAAAGCAGCAAAGCCACTGGATGCTTTGAGTTAACTGCATCATTGGAATCCTGATGGTCCACGGATGCATGAGACAAAGCTTTTGTAAACAAGTAAATAGACTATAATAAAATGCTGAGATTATGAAGACTTTAAGGTCTGTCTCCTTGTGTATTTGTGTCCATCAGCTTGTTGCTTTAAAAAAAAAAAAAAAAAAAAATTCCTTAATAAAAAATATGTTTTCCTTCTAAGCTGTTTAACTTGCTGCTTTGACATACATGTAGATAAGAAGGGAGTTTAATAGGATTTCTCAAATAGTTTCAAAGAGATTTCTCAAGATAATGCACTAAACAATAACAATAAACACCAAACATCTTATCTAAGCCATTATGGTCAAAATATAAATTAAAAAAAAATGCTTTCAACAACAGTATGCAATAATGTTTTATGATTGTTTCAAAATTAGAAAGTATAGCCACTGCAGTTCCTAATACCTGCATGTGACTGAGCTCTGATCTGAGACAGCTGCTAAAAGAGCAGCTCAGAACACATACACACGTAAGTGAAAAATGAACAGTGGTGCTGTATGTAGTACTTGTTGAGATGTGGTCTTAACAAAAGTATCCGTAAGTAAAATTCAGTGTGTGATTTCTCTGAATTGCAGCTTCAGAAAATGAACAATAGCAGGGTGTTAGAGCTCTGGAAAAGGTATATAAATCTACAGTGAAGTTCAGGGAAAGAAGAACAATGTATTCTTACTGTTTAAATGTCTGATATATTAACACAAAGGATGATTACAGCCATTAAACATGGATCAATGTCTACATTTTAGCCATCTGAATGTACCAGACGTGCACAACAATTACAAGAAAAATGCTGATTGATTATGTTGTAGAGTTATCAGCAGATGCATTTAAAAGTAAGGCCTCAGTTTAAAAATATGAATATCAAGGAGAGTGAATTCCATCTACAAAGCAAACAATTTTGTTCCATCACAATAAGCATCATTGACCTTGACTATGAATGGTGTATTTTTAAACTAGCAGTGGGAAGATGATTCAATCTCTGCAGTTTTTTGCTAAGACAAAAATGTTTTGTTTTAAGCAAGCCTTATGCAAAGGCATTTCTATCTTCAGAGAGTAGCCATTATGAGTGATGAGAGAAAAAATTTATGAATATGACACATTAAAAGGTCTTATATATGATAAAATAAGCAATACATGCTAGAGAGTTGTAAAGATACTTTAAATATATTACTGAATCTGAGGAATTAAAGATTAAAAAGACCTGGCAGCTTATCTAACCCATTTCTCTGCTCACTGATGAAACATCTCCTAAGGTCAAGTCTTCCCATTTTCTCTTTAGTCCAATCTTGACCAGATTTACCATGTCTGACCTAGTCTAAATAGTTGTGTGTTGAGATAGATTTCTCTGAGTTACTCCCCTATGTGAACTATTCCAAGCAATTTCTCCTGTGCACAATCAGCAGATTTAATGGTCATTTCTTTCCTTAGAATTTAAGTTTCCAACAAGTGTCATTCCAGGTTGGGATTTGTGATTTTATTCCCCCAAAAAATCTTTGAAGTGTTTTCTTTAGATATTTCCAAATCATTAATTTTTCCTTTTTTTTTTTTTTTTTTTTTCTTTTTGTAAAGTCTCGAAACCATTAAAAATTAAAATTTAATTTAATTTATTTAATTAAAAATTAAATAAATGTGATAGAGTGCAATACTTTTTGTCAACCAAGGACAAGGTGTCATCCACCAGCACTGACTCTTTGGCCATCACGCTGGGTACCACTAGACTATTCATCAACAGACAGAATTGTATTGATAGAAGCCATTTCTGAAAAAAAAGTGAGGAAGGGATGCTGCAAAAGGGTTCAGTAAAAATTAATTCAAGCTGAATTTACATTTAGTTAACTCATATAGCTTCTGTTATATTGATACTACAGATTGGAATTAGATGCGCTGTTGGAAGTAGCTCAGCTACAGAATTCATGTTGGCTGAATGCTTTACCCCCTGCTTTTAGTAAAATGTGCCACTGTGTAACTTAGCCTTAAAACAAAAAGCCAGTGAGCTGACCAATTATCATGTAACCTTAATTTTTCTTAAAAGAAAGGGAAAGATACAAAATAAATGTCATGAACTAAACACACAATTTTAGCACTGCTTATGTAACTCTCATTTGGGATGAGTGACTTACGAAACATTTTATTTATGTAAGATATTAGTTCAGTGAAAACATCTTCAGAAATAGCTTACCGAGTTTTATTCATCAAGTCTGCTCCACGCGCTTTGTAATAATCTAAATTTTGTTGGAACTGGTGAGTCACTGGTCTTGGATTTTTCTAAAAAAAAATTAAAAAAAAAATAGCATTATGTATCCTTCAAAGAAAGCATACTGTAACGGATCTTTTTTTTTTTTTTTTCTGAAAGATTTAAAGTCGAGACAAGAAATTTGTTTATTAAAGATTACAAATTTAAAGCATAATTTATTTTCTCAAGATCTTGTTTTCTAAGGGCAGTAATGGTAGTTACATAAAATGCAGCCTTAAAATCCTTAGCATAAATCCTTAGAATAATACCTAATGTTAGTGGCAAGCCCTCTCCTCACTAACAGAAATCAGTTTCACATGAGGAAGGCACTGCTGGTTGCTGTGATAGCACTTCTAAGTAAAGCAGAAGTACTGTCGGGCAAAGTTCAGACACAGGTGTAATTTATTCCTTCATCTCAGGTGCAGAATGCTACCATCTCCAGGCTAAAATGACGTGATTTTAAAGAAAATGATAACAGTAAGGACAAAGCAGCGCTTACATATTGCAATAACTGCATACAAGTGCAAATCTGGGTTAAGCGAAGAAGCAAGACTGGCCGAGCGCTGCCACTAGATGGCACACGGAGACTTTCTAAATTTCTCCCTGCTCAAAACTGAGGCCACAAAGAAAGCACAGTTCTCCTGTAACAACATTTTGTAATTGATACTGAAAGCAGAAGCTATTCAAAAGTGTCTGTCACAATAAAACTGGAGCCCACTGCCTCCAGTACTTGTGAAAACACCTCTGGAGATGGTATTTCGATGACTACGTGAAGAGGCGTGAATGCAGTATGTGCATAAAGAGTTCTGACTGAACTAGTGCAACCTGAAGGATGTTATTTGGAAGTTATTATTTTAATGGAAATATTTTAAAGTAAAAATTACATGCATATGGTTCAACCCAAAACCAGCAGAGACTTACAGAGTCCCTGCATACGCAAGCATGAATTAGAGGAGAAATTCACTGCAATGATCAAATATACTGCCTTAAACACATGTAAACACTTTCTGATTATTTGCTTCAAAGATTTGATCATCCATAGGCTGTTGCCTTACATTCTGATCTGCCTTCTTAACTCTTGTTAATAGTAAATATAGTTTTAATGAACTATGCAATGACCTGTCTGAAATAGTTGTTCACAGTTGAAAGCACATTACATTCTTCATGGAGTTATTCACACACTGTGTCCTAAATCTCCTAATTTCATTTTATGCTGTAGTATCCATCTCCCTCCTTTCCCCATGGAACTCCAGATAAACTTCTTTCCTCAAAAGCCTTCTTATTTTCGGAAGAGGTATAGTTGCATTTTAAAGACCAAACTACTGCATGTGCACAACAGGAGACAGGAGTATGTAAAGAGGTGGTAGGTATCAAAGGCCAAGGTAATTTCTGGGGTCAAACTTAAAGCTGGGAATTTCCAGATTCCTTCAAGTAGCCAGACTTAATCTTGTATGACAGGTCTCGTTTCCTTTATTTGGAAACACATTAAACAATTTAAAAATATATCCTGTTTGTAATGTTCAAAACGAAACAAAACTAAAAGCTATTAGGCAAGCATTAAAAACATTCTCATCTATTCTACCACCCACATTGTAATGGGTGCTGTACATTTTTCTTCCCTTGATATAAAAACAATATTTGCATAACTCTACCCATTCATATGGCTTGTAAGTCAGTCCTCATCAACTGACAGCAATAACAATGAATCAGCTTTAGTTACTATTGCTCTACTTTGGTAATTCAATGCATTTCTATGATAATCAAATCCAAACTGACGTGAGGAGGATAACTGATGGTTCTGTGACTACTCTGCAAGCAATCAGTGTAACTTTTCTCCTGTGAATTAAATAACTTTCCTTCATGTGACTTGATGCCCATTTCCACAAGGTGCATGAACACAAGATCAATAGAATAGTTAGTACTTCTAATTCCAAGGGAAGTAACTCAATATTTATTCTAAACTTGGCAAAACTGGTGGAATTTGCTATCTGCCACCCCACAAACAAACAAACAAATAAACAGAAAACTGTTCAAAAGAGGAAAAGATCATATGAACAGTTTCTTGAAACATATTTATGCAGAAATGATGAGTAATTCAAGACACGAAAGGCTGATCTACTATCTAAGCATTTAAAGACATTAATAGGAATAATGAGCTAACTCGAATATATGAATGAGGCTCAAGCATTACTTTCACAAGGGACTATTTAAATTCCTATGAGGTTTAAAGATTTCAAAGGAAGAGGCAGTTTAAATTACTATTACATGCAGTGAAAAAAATGCCTTAAAAAAAAAAAAACGATACTGGAAAAACATTAGAAATGCAAGGCAGTGAATACCAAGCTGCTGCTGAAAACCATTTTGTAACACAGTGAAGTTATCCATATAGGAAAGTACAGTATTAAAAACAAATCAACACAAATATCTGACATACATGTTAGCAGATCAGTATCTGCTCAGTACTACCACAGAAATGTTAAAAGTTCTGAAAATAGCACCTTAGGGAGCAAAAAAATATGACTTTATGAGGTTTATGATATTTATATTATTATATTATTGCATTACTATATATTATTAATAATATAAATTAGTATATATTATGTTATTATTGTTATTAACCTTTAAATTGTATATTTTAATCAAGTCATTAGGTTAAATATAAGAAACAAAAACCTGCAGTTACATCTCTTCCTTATGAATTTTCCATTAATTCCCATCTAAACATGCAGTTTCAGCTACCCTCTACATTACATACCATATATTAGAAAAGAAGATTAAACAAATTTATTTACTGCAAAACATAGCTTTGTTGTCTAAAATATTCACAGAAACTGCATCCTTTTCCTTACATACTGCAATTTAGAATGATACTATTTATATTTTTAATTACTTAGGCTAGTAAACTTTTCCTTTTTATTCCCCAATTTATGTAATTATTTTGACAAATTCCTCAGTTGAAATATTTTTCCTTAAGAGGAAAGTCTTGTTTAAATGACAGTGAAATCAACCCTTCGTATTACTAAATTGTTGAAATCTCCTAATAAATTGCATAAGGGCATTAAACAGATTAACACATTCAGTTTTTTTTTTCCTTTTTAAGGGAAACAGTGCAGAAATACTAGAGAAAAGCTGCCTGTGCCAGTACTACAAATCCCTCTTCCCACACCCATCTTTGGTAGCAGTCTGCTGGCTTTATAATTCTTCTGTTCTTACATTTCTACCTAAAGTAAGCTTAAAGTGGTGGAAACAGCCACATTCATACTTTTAGAGGAATCACACACTAAATACAGATACAGAAGCGCATGTAGGCACAAGTGCAGTTTTGGACTTCAAAGTTTTCAAAACAACATACATGTACAGTTTTTTTGTATGTCTTTTAAGCATGTATTAGCCACAGCTCCAATTGAAAAGATATCTAAGTATGTTTCAGGTATTTTAGGTACACCGGACTCCATCCTAATATTAGAATACAGAGCCTTATTTACAGGTTGCAAATGTACTTCTCCAAACACACATAAAGCTAGTGGGGAGTTGCTGGGGACCTTCTGCATTGCTTTATGGGAGAAGGGCTGGAGTTCACCCATACCCATACCCATACCCATACCCATACCCATACCCATACCCATACCCATACCCATACCCATACCCATACCCATACCCATACCCATACCCACTCTTCTCCCAGGTGAAGGAGCTGAGGACAGGGTCAGAATCCCATGGAATGCAGTAGGAATTCCTTAAACTCGCAGAAACTGCTGAAAAACTCTCAAAACTCCCATCTGTGAGGGGCTGTGCTTTGTACACTTAAAATCTCCAGTATTGCCCCTTCCATTATGGGCCTCCGGGGACATAGTGCATAAGATTGTCCACAGAGCTGTGCGAAACCATTCATGGGCACATTGCTCTTGCAGTGCATTGGGGAAACCACGCTATGCTGTAACGTAACGTTTAACCATTTGAATACGCGTTATTTGCAGAAGCTTCCATGCAGGTGCCAGCGGAGGATTGTATTCAACATTATTTTCTTTGTCTAGGTGTTTTCTTTTCACTCTTTCTTGCATATTAACAGAAAAAAAAAAAATCTAATCTAATTCTGCACAAAATCGGAAGGCCCGGAATAAGAGAGACAACAATGAAAAAAGATTTTCAATATGTCTGATGAAAAATGAGGCTTATTTCAGTTGAACATGCTATTGCCTCAATGCCCAGGGAAAAGCACTTGTCATTAGAGAAATGAATTGCTCAGCTGTTTATAAGCAGAAAGCTCTGGGGGAATTTCCCGGGGCCCAAAACACAGAGCATCGCAGGGTTACACAAACATATGTTGCAGGTGTTTTAGGGTAGACAGGTGGGAAAACCTCAACTACTGAAAAATACTCCACTTAATAGATTGTATCTGAAACCAGATAACCTAAATGTAACAGAGGAAAAAACAAACAGAACAGCAATGTTGAATTACACATCCGCACAGCAATAGTCTCGCTGAAATAATTATCTCACCAGAGCCAAACGGGACTTTTCTTTCTTTTTTTTTTTTTTTAAGCAGTTTCTCTCAGTATATTAAACAAATGCTTACACATCTTTTCTTTTTTTTTTCTTCTAAATGAATAATATTTTAAGCCTAGAACAAAGAACAAACTGAACTAAACATACACAAAAAAGAGAAAGATCAAATGTTGCCTTTTTTATTTAAAATATATTTTTAAGGAGACACTTTGTTCCTTTTTCTCTTCTTTACTTATAGTAGAATATTATTTTTTTTATAATCCTCACACGGGCTAAATATTTCTGTATTAAAATTATTTTTTTCCCCTTTCATTTGTTTCTAATTGAATTTGGAGGAACACCTGACCCTACATTCAGTAACGATGAAGGGGTCTGCAAAGCTATACCTTTTCCACTTACATCACCTGTACTTGTTTCTTAAATAAAAGAGACAAAAAGAAGGGAAAAATTGGTCAGAGAACAGAGGTAGAATGCAGCAACTTAGACATGGATAAGCATCTTTGCATTTTGTTCAGCTCTGCAGCAG